TAATGGGCTTTGATACCATGTTAAGATTTGGAGGTCCATCTTAAAAGGTCAACCTTATTAAGAGGAGTAGCCCAAGATCTTTATTAATTGATCTGTGTCAACATCTTTATTCGATGTGGGATTATATCCCTTAACACAGTTTATCTATCTGCCCTCACTTTTTCATAACTTTATGAGGTTTGGTGATTGTAACTTGAATGAGCTCCTTTAATAATATTAACAATGACGACCACGATGAAGGCTACAACAATGATAATGAATGGCATCCTTTTGCAGGGGAAAGAGGGATAAATCTAAAGCTGAAAAAGCAGAACATATTGAACGAATTCATGATATTAAGGAAGGTATTCAGGACAAGGAGCAACAATTCATGGAGTTGCAGGAACTCACTCGCCAATTTTTTCTGAAGCACTTAAATGTTCATTGTATAATTTCCTATTCTTTGATAAAAATTTTGAACACCATATTAAATTGACTGAAGTGCAATATCCATGACATTGAACAGCTCATTTAATTTTACCTAGCCTTCTTAAACTGCTTGCAATCTGCCTTGGAGCAGTCTATGCTCAGTCAATGCTTTCTTGAAATCATTGGTCATGTCCTCATGAAATTTGTGCTTACTGACTCCTGCAATTGGGTTTTTCTTTGCATTCAAAAGAGGATTGCTCAAGACACCATTCTTTTGAAAGATGAGCATTTAAGAGAAGCGCAATTTTGGATGACTCGTGCTTAGGAAATGGATGCTTTTCAGTCAACTGCTTGCTAATCGTATTTTACAAGCTGAATTACAAGAACGGACAGAAAAATGTAATCAGCTGTGGTTTGGTTGTCAAACACAGGTGATTAAGATATAGATATTACTTCGGTTGTCAAATGTGAAATTAATTGTTTTTTTAATTTTAATTAGCGACTGATTAGATTTTTATATTTGTTAGTTTGGTGAGATGGAAAGGCTTCATCTACATATACAAAAACTCCAGACTGAATTGGCTGATGTAAGAGAAAAGAGTGCAAGTAAATCTGATGTATCAAGTGTCTCACAAACAGGTTTGAAGGATGCTTCTCATGTTGGACGGAGCAATGATAGCCAAGTGAACGGAAATTTTACGCCACTGGAGAAATCTGGCATCATATTTGATTAATTTATGATGTCTCTTATAAGTAAAATATCTAGGTTCAAATACTTGTGAGTGTTAAATATTTTGCTTCCCGGGTGCATCTCTATATTATCACCAGATTATTCATTTTTCTCAGTACTTAATGACAATGTGCCACCAGATTTTGAATTGATCTTCAATATGACAGATTTGATCAAATTTAGAAATGCGATATTTTTTGTCAAATGGACTTCGTCTACTAAAATTCAATATTATAATTGAATAATCATATAGAACTTCTTACCATTTTTCCTTCTGGGAAGTATGTAGAGGATGCAATGATGGCCGCCTATAGCACAACACTCTGATGTGCACAAGATGCATAAAATCGACTTGTGAGGCTCTTCCATTGATTCTAAAAATTACTCCTCTTTTTTCTAGATTGGGCATGTTCAAGGGGTCCAATTTGCTCCATCCCTACTTGAGATGCCAACCTATGTTCCTTCTGGACAGGTGCAATCACTTGTAATGCATCAACATGTTTTAAGCTTAAAATTAGTGCTAAGTATGAGAAAGATGCTAGGTTGTATCGAATGGGAACATCATTGTTGTTGGATAATTCGGGAAAAAATAACCCATTCATGCTTTATCATTTGAAGGATACCATCGACCAACATCAATTCCAAAATAAAATCATGTCTATCTTATCGACAATAATCAACTAATGTGCAACGCACGTTCTCTTCACTAGTAAAAGATAAAAAGTTTAATGTTTACTAATAGGCTAAATCTCCCTTTTTTACTCCAATTAGTGCTATTTCCGTAATGTTTTCGTTAATAATCCTCTACTGCTTGGGCCTGGTGTTGGATTAAAGATAGTGGAAATTACACTAGACCGGGTGTTTAGTTTTAACATTCTAAAAATCAGGTTTTTTCTTTATTTAATCAAAAATCAGGTTTTAATTTCACAATTAATATTGATAATAACATTTAAAATTAAATTAATCTATATGCCCACCCCATCCCAGTACCTATCCTACCAACTTTATTTTAAATATAACATCATATCCAAACCCAAACCCTAATCCATTTCATATCTTCTCACTCTCTCACCTGTCGCCACCACCGCCCGTCGCCGCCGCCCCTTCTCCCTCCCCTTCCATCCCGTCTCCTCTCTTTCTTCCCCCAGATCTGCTGCGCGACGCGACAGCATGGCGACACGCTGTTGTGATGTATGACCCAGCAGCGTCGCGCTGCTGTGTCGCACAGCAGTGACAGCAGGACCCAGTAACGTCGACTCTGCTGAAAGTTTTTTGGGCGTTTCGGGTGGGTGGCTGATCTGTGTGTAGGTGGCTAATCTATGGGTGTGGGCGAGTGGTGGTATGTTTTGGGCGGTGGTGGTGGATCAGTTGGTTTCGGTGAAGAGCCGAGACTCTTTGCTTGAAGTAGCGGTGGTGGTGTTTTGTATGGCTAGATGCGACGGTAGTGGTGGTGTTTTGTGACTAAGAAGGCGGAGGCAGTGGTGGTGTTTTGTGACCAATTTTTTGATTGATATGTGACCAATTATTGGTGGTGGATCGAGAGCGGGGTGGGATGTTTGATCAACTTATTATTGGTGTTGTTTAGGCGATGACAGTGGTGTTATTATTGGTGGGTGTTTTAGGGATTGTAGTCGATAGCGAATGGGACGAAGTGTCTGT